TAATGCTCAAATCGCACTCCTGTAAACCAATGAAATTGCAGTATTTGCCATTGATTACAGAAGATAAATAATTAATGATGGTAATAGAACGAATAGGAGTGCTATTAATGCCATAATCATACGAGTGATTACAAAATCAACCGACCGCGTAGCGGGAGGTTGATTTGTTAATCACGAGTATGATTATGGCATTAATAGTACGACTTAATTCGTTCTATTACTTATTAATTATTTATCTTCTGTAATCAAACTGTAGAAAAAAGCACAAAAAATACAATTTGTTGAAATTCAATATAATTATTAAATTTTTGTCACGACAATTCTTAGTGAAATAGCTACAATTTTGAATTAAATTTATCATAAAAATTAACATATTATTAACTTCCGGGTATTATTTCCGGTATAATCACATGACAACATTGTTTGAATTATTCAATATTCAACACACAATTGGGAAGCCATGTTTGTATGTTTATAACGTGTTCAAAATAGTGAAGTTCTTTAGTTCATTTTAATCTGAATATAACCCCTGGTTGTGTCTAGTTTGGTGTCTTCTGCTGGAAGAACAGGTAGGTCATTTTCGTCAGAAAATATATAATTTAACAGCCCTAGAAAGCGAGGTCGGTATTCGGCAATGCCGACCTATTAAATACCGACCTATCAACCTCCCAGGTCGGCAATGTTTTGCCGACCTTAATTCAACCAAAGTAAGAAACTTTTTTGGTGCTGATAGCTGTTAAAAAATCAGCGATTATAGAATTCGATACACTTTGGTGTAAGGTTTAAGAATTAACGGGTATTATGATATAATTTAGGTAAGACTCTAAAAGAAAAGCCTTCGTGACATTTATACTTTTCAATGATTCGTAAATACGTGATTACTAGTGCAGGCTACTAGTGCTCCAAAACATGGAAACAGATTTAAAAAAATGCCGAGATGTGCCAAGCTAGGTCACATTTAGGTCGGCATATTTTTTCCGACCTCAATTTTGCCGGTATTCGAGGGCTGATTTAAAAATTAAAAGGTTCAAAATTTGTGAATTCCTCCATTTTGAAATTTTTTACAGCAACAAAGAAAATAAAATTCAAAGTTTGTATCCTGAATGCTGATTGGCTAGTTGTAAATACTAGACTGATTTTCATTGGCTGTAGACAAGAGTGCGATTACAGCTCAGAAAAGGTGCGATTAATGCTCAAATCGCACTCCTGTAAACCAATGGAATTGCAGTATTTGCCACTGATTACAGAAGATAAATAATTAATGAAATAATTGCACTCGTCTTAACCAATCAGATTGCTGTAATTTTGTCATGTATACAGCTATTTCAATTAAGGTTGTCCCCCGAGCAAAGCGGAAAAGTCGACTACGAGCGCGAAAGGCTGCTGGGAATGGCTAATAAATTGATTCATTTATTAGCGATTCCCAGCAGCCTTTCGCGCTCGTATTCGAGTTTTCCGCTTTCCTCGGGGGACAACCTTAATTGAAATAACTGTATAATAAATAAGATAAAATAGGTAAACTGAAACTTCCAAGTTCACAATTTCGGCCTGGTTGGAACCACAGCAGAGGTTTTCCAAGACGAGGTAACTCCGTGAAAGTTTATTCGACTTCAATTCGAAAGACTTCAATTCTATGTTAATTAATCAGAGGTTCATACCAAAATTTGGTATCAAACCTTTGTCGGCACGTACGATTCAACAGGTTTTTGTATCAGCTAGTGTAGTGATTGACTATATTCCAGCCGCGGAAGTAATTAGTATGCAAAATCTATTTGTTCAGATAGCATCGGCTTTAGCGCAGGATGCATGCAATACCAATGAGATAGTTCACACTCAGCAGATCAACGTGATGCCACCAATGAAGTCACAGTAGCGTCGCGTTTCCATTCATCACATGCACTAGCGTCGCGTTATCAGGTCGCGCTAGCGAATAACGTCACAAAGGATCAAGGACTTTAACTATCGTAATCTGAAAACACATGACGAATTACGAACAACAGCTTAAGTTGAAAGAGCGGCATTTAGAACAGAAGGTTTTCCAAGTGCGCATTCTGTTTACATCGAAAGATGAATGAAGTAGAGAAGAGCAAATTACAGTTAGGCTGTTTTTAAAGGAGGAAACGGATGAACTATTACGAATGGTGGGAGAGAGGTTATTCCTGAGAAAGACAATTCGGTTGAAAAAAGAGTTCCTAAAGAGAGAAGACCTGCAATGATTAACATGAAGCAAGTTGTCCAAACTTGAACGGGTGTGAGACGAGCTATTTGAAGTAAAAGTGACGAAAGAGGAGATATCTAGGTCGAAGAGACCGTGCTTACATTTAAAAAAGAAGACGAGATCCTTTAGTTCCATACAGTAGGATATTGGTAATAGATTAAGCTTCTTAAGGCGTTCAGGATATGGCAACTCATAATCCTGAAGGACAAATTTACTAGCCTGTCATTGAACACCTTCGATGATCGCAAGATCACGTGACGATCCATGAGGTGCCCAGATCTCACTACCATATGACAGATGAGATCGGACGAGAGCAAGATAAAGATGCCTACGGCAGCGAATATCAGACATTTGCGTACAATTCCTACGAAGAAAACCAAGCATACGATTGGCTTTTGCAGTGCAGCTGGCGATGTGAGGGGACCACTTTAGGTCATTGCTGATAACAACACCCAAGTCTACTTGGTTAGCTATGCTCTTAACTGGATCGTTGTTAAGAAAGTAGCAATGAGTTGGAGGGTTACGTTTGCGGGATATCCTAAGTAGGAGCGTCTTCGAGACATTAAATTACATTTTCCAGTTAAGTGACCAGTTGGACATAGCGTCCAGGTCAAGCTGAAGGAGACCACGATCAACTGGTGATCGTATAGCACGATAACACTTGCTGTCATCAGTAAAAAGTTCAACGGTACTATTATTGGTTACCTCTGGAAGGTCATTTACATAAAGAATGAATAAAATAGGACCTATTACACTACCTTGTGGCACCCCAGAGGTAACATTAAGAAAAGATGAGGAAGCTCCTTCAACGACAACACACTGTTTGCGATCACGAAGGTAATCAGCAAACCAGTTGTGGACCTGAGATTCCAAACGATTTAAGTTTGAACAAAAGTTTGCAATGGGACACCGAGTCAAACGCTTTAGCAAAGTCGTGATAAATGAGGTCTGTTTCCTTTCCAGAGTCAAGAGTACGACCAAGGTCGTGAAGTACACTCAAAAGTTGAGTAACACACGACCTTTTACAGCGAAAGCCATGTTGAAGGTCGTACAAGGAGTTTTCAACAAAAGAAGAAACCTGACTGAAAATTAAACGTTCGAGAACGTTTGAGACTTGAGAGTAAGGAAACTGGTCTGTAGTTAGTGACCTCCTGAGTGTCACCCTTTTTGAGTATAGGCACGACATTAGCAGCTTTCCATTCAGAAGGAAAAACACTCTGCTGAAGAGATAACTCAAAAATAGCAGTCAAAGAAGGGGCAATTACCTCAGAACATCGCTTTAGAAGGTAAGCTGGAATACCTTCAGGACCAGTAGCCTTAGAGGGTGACAAATTGGACAACAAAGGCTGAACATCGGATCCAGTTATATTTAATGAGTCAAGAGAGTTAGAAGCTGAACTAGAGGGAGTGAAAAGAGGTGAAGAACTTGTGTCGGATATAATCCATTCCTTTAATATTTGGATATAATCCATTCCTTTAATCTTAAGCAACACATATGTGAACCTACTCATAAAGACGGCCATACTCTCGACCTAATTATTACACGCTATGAAGATAACATCATTGACTCATTATATATCAACGACCCGGGTATTTCTGACCACTTTTCTGTAAATGTGAATGTTTTAGTTGAGAAACCTAAACGACAAAGGAAAGAAATTTGTTGTCGCAAGCTAAGGAACATAAATTATGAAAAATTTTGTACAGACCTTGAAAGATCGTCTCTTATGTCTGAATCAACTGGGTCCTTGCCAGTCAGTGAACTAGTTGAGGAATATGAAACTGCGCTCAGATCATTATTAGACACTCATGCTCCCCTACATAATAAATTGGTCACAATACGTGATTTTTCTCCTTGGTACACACAGGAAATTCATACACAAAGAATTATTAAAAGGAGACTTGAAAGGCGTTGGTGTTCTTCTAATATGGCGACCGACAGAGATCTGTATGTTAAGCAATGTATGAAAGTCAATGATTTGATCTTTCACTCGAAAATGTCTTTTTATGGTGATTTGATTGATAGTTTGGGACCTGATCAACGAAATCTCTTTAGTACTGTAGACAAGATGATTCATAAAAAAGCGGAAAAGCTTTAGCCTTCATCTGGTGTTTCTGATAATTTGGCAAATGATTTTGCGAATTTCTTTTGTAACAAGATTACAAATATAAGATCAACATTGCTGTCTGAAACATCTATAAATTTCGATTATGACAAGACATACCCAATACAGGCTGAGCTATCCACCTTTCCCCTGTAACATCTGAAAATCTTGGGAAATTAATTGATAAAATGTCAAGTAAATCATGTCAACTGGATACTATACCAGCTTCTGTTTTTAAAAAGTGTGGTCATCTATTACTTCCTGTGATAACAGACATTGTTAATCTTTCTCTGCATCATGCATTGGTCCCACCCAGTTTGAAAATGGCACTTCTGCTACCATCTATGAAGAAACCGTCTCTGGATCATGAAGAATTCTCAAGCTTTCTACCAATTTCCAATTTGAAATTTTTGTCAAAGGCTGTTGAAAAAGTTGTTGCGTCCCAAGTTGATACTTATATTAGGGATAATAACTTGTATGAAGTGTATCAATCAGCCTATAAAAAGTATCATAGCACTGAAACTGCTTCAGTTAAAGTTCAAAATGATATTCTCCTGGCATTAGACAATCGGTCATCGGTAATACTTTTGTTATTGGATTTGTCGGCTGCCTTTGACACAGTTGATCATCAAATATTACTTTCCCGATTGGAAAAAAGGTTTGGTTTCAACGGTAAAGTCTTGGAATGTTTTTCATCATATCTATCTGATCGCACACAGTTCGTTAAGGTGGAAGGACAAACCTCAAATTGTTATGACTTGAAATATGGTGTTCCGCAGGGGTCAGTTTTGGGACCCATGTTGTTTGTGCTTTATACGTCCTCTCTGGCTGACATCATTCGACAACATGGTATTGACTTTCACCTGTATGCGGATGACACCCAATTATATATAGTTTTTAAATCATCAGTGGATGGTCAACTTGATCTAGCAAAATCCAAGATTGAAGCATGTGTCTCTGACATTGATGCATGGATGACGTCAAATATGTTAAAAATGAACAGAGACAAAACTGAGCTGTTAGTTCTCAGTGCTCGACACCTTCCTCAACCACCTATTTTTTCGGTTTCGGTGTGTAGTGAGGTAGTCACACCGTCGAACTATGTTCGAAATATTGGAATGCTTTTCGATTGTGGTATGTCCATGGAGCAACATATTACGGAAGTATGCAAGTCAGGATTCTATCATCTACGAAACATTAGAAGGATAAGGAAATACTTGTCGAAGTCAGCAGCTACAACTCTAGTTCATGCATTTATAACATCACGGCTTGATTATGGTAACTCTTCTTACTATGGACTACCTAAGCGGCTGATCCAAAAACTTCAAAGTGTGCAAAATTCAGCGGCTAGATTGGTAAACTTATCTAGACGATATGATCATATCTCACCAATTTTGAGGGAATTGCATTGGTTGCCTGTGGAACAACGAATCAATTTTAAAATTATTCTCTTGACTTTCAAGTGTTTTCATGACATGGCACCATTGTATTTAAAAGAATTAGTTAAACCATATGAACCAAAAAGAACGTTAAGATCATCCTCAAAGAACCTTGTTGATACAACTAATTTTAATCTACGTACATATGGTTTTAGAGCGTTTTCTGTTTCAGCTCCAACATTGTGGAATGCATTACCAGACAGAATACGGAACTGTCATAATATTGAAATTTTTAAGAAACTTCTTAAGACACATCTTTTTAGCATAGTTTTTAATTAGTTACTTGTAATATTTCCTCTTAGTTCTTAGTTAGGTTACAAATCTTGTAAAGGATATTATTAATATGGTGTCATTGGCGGCATCCCTTTCAAATCCATACAGAATTGGGCTACCTCGTTTTGGATACTTACGCTGCTAAAACCGATGTTATCTGTACACGCTTAAGTTGTAGATTTTGCATAATATTACTCTCGCCGTCAGAGTGGAGGGTTTGACTACTTATCAAGCCCTCGTTTCCAATTTCAAGGGCTGCCTGCCATTAACCCACGATTCGGTAAAGCGAGTTTGTCTGAAGGGTTATTAAACCTTGAATTCGCTTTAAATAAAGCTAAAATCACTTCATTTCGCCACAAAAATTTTAGCGACGAGCAACGTATTAGTCGCTTTTACTTTAAGCTTCCACTTTAAACTTAATGTATACATTCAAATCGTAGGTTTGAAAACTTAAACATAAAAAATAATGCATCATTTGAGACTCAAACACCTTCCTAAAATAATCCTTATTATTGAATATATACGTTGTACTCCAGCAAAGGCCCAGGAAAGTAATTTGCTTTTTGTTTGTGTCCTGTGCGCGCATAATTCAGGAACATGACTCTTGATTTATATCATCTTCAATTCCGTAGATGTAAGTGAATGTATGGAAGGGCCAAGTGGTTTAAATGCCAACTGTACAAATACCATTGGTTTATACATGAGCGAATATAAAAACACTGGATGTGAAAAAAGTTTTAGAGACCAGCAGCATGTTGGTTCTTTTAATCGCATGCACGAAGACTGCCTTGCTCATAACTGTCAGTATATATATATATATATATATATATATATATATATATATATATATATATATATATATATATATATATATATATATATATATATATATATATACGATATATTTATACTATGTTTGCTTGATTTTGTCTGGCCTTGGATACGGCTAGCGTTTTGCGAACCAAATAATAATTGCTCGCTTCTACTTTAAACGTATATAGCTACATTAAAATCGGAGATTTGATGACTTAAAAAATAAAAAAATAATGCATCAATTGATATTAAAACACATTCCAATAGGATCGCCTTGTTACTTATAATAATACATTGTCCTGCATGCAGCTAGGAAAGTAGCTAATTTGTTTTTTGTTTGTGTCCGGTGTACACGTAATTAAAAATATGGCTTTTGATTTATATCATCTTCAATTCCGCAGACATCAATGAATGTGTTGAAGAGCCATGTGGTTTTAATGCAAACTGTACAAATACCTTTGGTTCATTCATGTGTGAATGTCAAACTGGATATGAAGGAAACGGAACAAATTGCACAGGTACAGTAATTTTTAGTTCTTATTTTGCTACCTGTTAGCAGATAAAAGCCATTTCCATCCAAGACTAATGCAATTACCACTGTCTGCATTTTTATAACAGCCAATCAGGGCCTCTCAAAGGGGGGACGGGCAGTTGTTCCGGGCCCCCAGTTAAAGAGGGCCCAAAATTTGCAAAAGGGGAACCATAAAAGGTGTTATTAAAAAAAATATTTGGAACGTTTTTTTTCTATAAATCATGGTATGAGAAAAAATGTTAGACCTTAATTTTACTGGTATAGGTCCGAAAAATATGTTTACTGGTGTTTTTGTTGGTATTTGTGCGGAAAAATTTTTTTTGAACCTTAATAAATTTAACCGGTCTTTGTGCGGAAAAATGTTTAAACTTTTTTTTTGGAAATGTCTGGAAATTTTTATTCCTTCCTTCCCCCTCCTGCCGCTAGCCAACATTTTTGTCGAAAAATAGGGGCCCCGAATTAAAAATTCGCCCCGGGCCTCCATTTTCTCTGGAAGGCCCTGCAGCCAATGGTGATTGGTAATGCGAGAGGAAGGCAGACCATTTAAGAGCGGACGTGTGTAAATATCGACCGGAGGCGGTCAAAATAAACTGATATCGAAAATTCTCAAAAAATGCCCAAACGTAGGCCTATGTGGGTCATGTATGGGAAAAATACTAAAAAGTCCATTAGATTTTTATTTTAGGAGGAAAAATGCAATTTCGTGTTTATGCGGTCGACGATCACGATTTGAGACCGTTTCAACACATATCAGAAAAGAATTCCTAAAAAATTCTCGTTTTATTTAAAAAAAAATAATTTGCAACTAATGAAAGAATGATAATTTTGCTGCATTTCAAGTCTTAAACTTTTGAATTTGGACTGACTTTGAGTATTTTACAGAATTTTAAACTTGTACAATTTTTCGCATACAAAAAATATGTTTTACTTCAAAGTCAAAATTTGCACTTTGGCATATGGATTCGGGTAAAATGACTATTAATTATATAATGAATCTACTATGCCTCAACTTCCGAAAACTGCAATAAAATTTTTGGGCTACTGAAAAGATGCGATTTGAGAGCTCTCGTAAAATCCACTTGAAGGGTCAAAAAGGTCGTCGCAAAATGGCCGACGAACTCACATGTTGACAGGATAAAAATCAACCACACTTTGGAATCGTCACAGAATGCTCCCTATTTTAGATATATGAATCCTAATGTGAACTAAGTATTAGAATAGTAAAAGTTTCACAAACTCTTGAGAGGAAAACATATCGCTTAATAGCATGATAGTTTCAGTATTTATAGTCGCCACATTACAACTTGCCGACTTGGATATTGAATCAGCTATCACATTATAAACAGTTCTCCTCTCTAAAATTGCAATAGATAGTCATAATTTACCTTCAGTACTTGTACTTTATTTGAACCAGGCCAGATACTGCAGACAAATCACAGTATTAGGCTGTTTTACATGCATATTTCCCACTAACTTTGGTCAACAGTATAAACGTCGCTTTGTAAACAAATCAGGTGAAGTAGCTATATCGTGTTATGCACAGAAACCCAATCTTCGGACAGTTGAAATTAGATTCCTTGCTGCATAAAAGCGGAAATCATGAAATTGAAAGCGATTGCAGTATTGTGGTGGCACTGAAAATTCGACCTAGAGAGTCGTAGTGTTAACTTTTGGGTGCCCACGCGATGTTCTATTTTTATCTTATACGAAATTTGACGGCTTATTACTTTTCCCAACTTTTAAAAATTATTACAGTAAACATTAGATAAAGTCCTGCGTTATGTTGTTGTTTTTTTCTCGAAATGTAAAACACACTTTGATCATTTATCGTCCATCGTAAATATTCTTGTTTGCACGTGGTGAATTCTAAAAGATAACACACCCCTGATAGACAATTTGGCAGATATTGTGCAAATACTCATTTTGTCGGCGACCTAAGTGAGACGTGCGTAATATTGAGACGTTTTATTAATGTATTTCCTGTCGTAAATTTATAAAACCTACAAAGTACAAATACCACAAAGAGATCAATTTAATTTAAATATATGTTATAATGTAGCGATAAATTATATTGCAGCTAAAAACTAACAGTTTGACAGTTGTTGTATTATAACATTCAACTTCAAATATAGAAAGTTTGAGTATATACAATGGCAATAAAATACAAATTTTGTGGACTAATTTCATCGTACTAAAAGTATAGATCTTCACTTATGCTAGCATGTTTTTTGCGTGCAGTACGAAGACACACTGAATTCGTGAGTGTACGGCAATAAAATTGAAAGAAAGTACAAACAAATATCATTGCTATTTATAGAAAGCCAAAATTATAGTCGCAACAAGTGCCATATTGCCTAACCTGAAGTTCAGACCGTAATCACAGAATAGGGCCTGACACAAAACCTATCTAAACTGTGGGATTCCCGTCCACCTGGTGGACGGGAAATCTGAATGGTTGATCAGCATCATGAAGGATTTTGATTGGTTGCAAGTTCACATAAACAACAGTTTTAAAAATAGCTCGGTCAAGGCGAGAATTAATATAAAGGTCAAACGCACGTAACAAATTCCGTTATCGATTTCTTCGAATTTCTTTTCTTTTATGCTTTATGGCAGAAAATAAATCAAACAAACAGTATTTTGAAAGGGCTTCATCAAAATCTTTGACGAATTTTGGACACACACGACCTATGCACACGACGCTGAAAGAACAGCCAAACTAGTCCTGTATTCGAAAGCTTGTTGTTGACAGCCAAGATGTTCTGCCAAAAGTCTTATTTTTAATATCAGGTCCTACCGGCGTTGTTTTCTGAGCTACATCGCCTTCTTCCTGGTATGATTGAGAATTTTAATTGTTGCTGTTGTTAGCCCGTTAGTCGTTAGAGTACTGATCCGCGTCCAGCAAGTTGAGACCTTGAGAGCTTGGCAGTCAAGTCGTGCACAGAACTGACTAATTAAATCTTTGTTTGCTGTTCGCCTGTTCGGTTAAATAGAGAAACTGACTCTTAATTATATAAAAGTACCTTGAATTTTTAAGTTTAATTAAAAAGCAAAATGCTCTGCGGACATGTTCATGAGAATATAATTTTTTTGTGTAACGAAATCTACAACACTTGTCAATCATATTGCATGTTGTGTCTAAAAATAACATGTGGGCGTCCCACGGTCTAGACAGGTTTTGTGCCTATTTCAAATTAGGGCCTGAACTTCAGGTTACATATTGCCAAACTCCATGGCGGAAACTATATATTTATCCAAGGCAAATATTACAATAAACGTACCGGTATTTATTTAGATGCTCCGTCGACCTTTTCTTGGTTGATTCAGAACATGCAGGGTGTCAGGGGAAAACAATTTTTTTCGCAAGGGGTTTTCCCCAATTTTGTATTGGTCAATTTAACAAGCGTTTATTTAGGTTTTATCATATTGACCCAACGAGGGCCAGCGACACAGGCTACATTAGGCTTAGCTGCCTTGAAACATTGCACTATATCCTTGGGATCTCTGAGTTCAAGTTCGTATCTCCGAAGACTGGGTTTCTGTACATAACAGTATAACACGATATATTTCCGGCTGGTTTGTTTACAAAGCGACGTTTTTACTGTTGACAACGTTGGTGGGAAATATGCATGTAAAACCATTTGTCTGCAGTATCTGGCCTGGTTCAAATAAAGTATATACAAGTACTAAAGGTAAATTGTGACTATTTATTGCAACTTTAGAGGGAAGACTGTTTATAATGTGATAGCTGATGCATTCAATATCAAAGTTGGCAAGTTGTAATATGGCGACTACTGAAACAATCATATATGAAGCGATGTTTTTTCCTCTCAAGAGTTTGAGAAACTTTTACTATTCTATTACTTAATTAGTTCATTACAATTCATATATCTAAAGTATGGAGCATTTTGTGACGATTCCAAAGTCTGGTTGATTTTTATCCTGTCAACATGTGAGTTCGTTGGCAATTTCGCGACGACCTTTTCGACCCTTCAAGTGGATTTTACGAGAGCTCTCAAATCGCATGTTTTCAGTAGCCCAAAAAATTTATTGCAGTTTTCGGAAGTTGAAGCATAGTGGATTCATTATATAATAGTCATTTTACCCAAATCCATATGCCAAAGTGCAAATTTTGACTTTGAAGTAAAGCATATTTAATGCATGCGAAAAATTGTACAAGTTTAAAATTCTGTAAAATACTCAAAGTCAGTCCAAATTCAAAAGTTTAACACTAGAAATGCAGCAAAATTATCATTCATTCCTTAGATGTAAATAACTTTTGTTTGAAAAAAACGTATAATTTTTTAGGAATTTTTTCTGATATGTGTTGAAACCGTCTCAAATCGTGATCGTTGAGCGTTTAAGCACAAACTATTGCATTTTCCTCCTAAAATAAAAATCTAATAGACTTTTTAGTATTTTTCCCATTCATAGCCCACATAGGCCTACGTTTGGCATTTTTTGAGAATTTTCGATATTTTTTATTTTGACCGCCTCCGGTCGATATTTACAGACATCCGCTCTTAATACTCACCAATTTCGTAGGTCAGACATTTTGATCATAGTCATAATCAATAAGTATTGCAAAAGTCTTTTAAAATGTCCCTGTCACAAGATGAGAGTCTATTTGAAAACTTTATGATACAAAATATACGGAAATTCGCAAGCAGAATCGCTTTTTCTTTTTTAGTCCGCTAAAAGTTATTGACTTTTAAACATCGAATTTCGCCTTGCGAAAAATCTAAAAACCGGTCAAAGGAAATTGGGACGAAACAATGCATGTAACGAAGGCGCCGCGAAATCGGGAAGTAATGGGGGCATGTCCCCCCCCACTCACTTTTTTAAAAGTGAAAAAGTGCCCTTTTTTCTGCGTTAGAAAGAAAGTGTCCTTTTTGCAGAAGTAAAGACTCTGTAAAGGACATTTCCGACATTATAGGGACTCCATATTTTCAAACATTTTCGTTCGGCACGTGAACGACCTAAACTCGTTTGATTTTGGTCATATACAAAGGTGTCTCTTTTGGCCAATACCCCACTACTTTCGAAATGCATCCGCGGCCTCTGGTGTGACGTAATAGTAGGGACTCAGCTAGCTCAGTAATATAGAACTAATAGAAAATACTGAAATAATGAAATACATGTACATGCAGCCCCAATTTCCAGTCATAGTATTAAAAATAAAATCTGTACATATATAACAAAGTTTGTAAATTTTCTGATTATATTATCACCCAGAAATGGCGAGCCATATCTTTAGGTTAAGTGGGACTATCATTACAATTAGAAAAGTTCGACAATAATACGGTTTAGTATAAATTTTGCATATCAAATGAGTTTCGCGCGTTCTGATCGGCTAGTTGACTAGTAAATCTGACGCATTATTTACCACCTGGGTAGTAAATAATGCTTTTCAAAAAGAATGATTCGGGAAATTTGGTTTCAAAATCGACAAAATATTGAAAAAATCGTCCCAGAAAACGAAAAAAAAACACAAAATGTTGTATTTAACTTGAAATGTAGGATTTTTTTATTATATTACTGTGTCAAACATATTCACTGACAATTTAAAACTTATTTAAAACTCCGAAACAATCGCTTCAAACAAATAGCAAAAACTATCCCGACTGTTGGGAAAAGCCGTGATATTCTTTTTAAAACAATTTTGTTTTGCATCCTATAAATATCTCAATTTGTACGATACTATTTATTTTGATATGTCGTGTTTTCATTGTGCTGTATGGTGTCTTGACGCTGTATTGTACTATTGAGTATTGTGTTTTTGAAACTTGTAAAGTGAAAAGTGTATTAATTAAAACTTGTATATTTCGAACGATATAGTTTTACATTTCATTTTACCAAATTTCTCAGCCATTTCTTGAACAAATTAATACTAAACAGAAAGTCTGGTGAAAAAGCCATTCCATCATTGTGTTTATATTCTAAGCAGAAATCGAGAAAAATAACTTTGTAATAAAGCAATAAAGTCACACAGGAAGCCATTTTGAAAGCGTGCTTGTACAAGAAACGCTGCAACACTAAAACAGTAACCGTAACGCGGTCGAAAACAGTTTTATTTCTGAATTTTAATTAAACTAATAGTTGGATAACTTCGATATTTTGTTTTATTCATTAAAAATTTATACTAAAACAATTATTCGCCTCAGGCTCAGTAATTACGGTGAATATTCACCTCGACTTCGTCTCGGTGAATATATTCACCGATAATCACTTCGCCTTCGGCGAAAATTGTTAAATAATATTAGTTGTGAGAACCAAATACTAGACTATTCCTGAATGACAAATTTGTCAATTTATGTTAATAAATGACCTTCCACTGAACAATCTTGTCTGTCACTTGAAAAAATTCGCACTTGGATTGACTGTAATTACTGTTAGTCTAGGACCTGTATACGAGTTTGTATGCGTTTCATTTACCACAGGTAATCTCAACTGTTTTAGGGTAAAATGACCATGGCGGTCAACATGGCATATGTGCCAAAACCTGAATCCTGGACCAAAGTCCTGAAAATGACCCCGCCCTGAAACGGCAGTGCCGACATAGCTCTAACTTCCGAAAAGCAAAAGCGACAGCCTTTCTGAAGTGCTTATAGTGTTTAGAAGGGTGCTTTAAGGGTGGTTATTGGAAGGAAAAATTTGTGTAAGTATAATATTTTACAAGAAAATGACCATTTATCACCCCAGGTAAATTGCTGATTATGCAGAAAATAACTAATATACTTGGCAGAAATTAAATATCCTTATTTCGTAAAGAAAATTACCATGGGATAAAAAACTATGCTTAATTTAATATAATCTTTGTAGTTTCCATAAGGATAGTCACTGTTTTCTATAAATATAATATATTTTATTTCACTCCCCCCCCCCACGAAAACACGATTTCAGCCATATTTTGCCGTCTTGTTTGCTTCATATCGCCGTGTCTCGCAAATAACATCCAGTTGTTGTACTTTTACATAATGGCAAATGGCTAAAGGAGATTTCAACCAAGTTTCGGCAAGTTTTGGAGCAGTGCAGTGTATTTTATCTTCGATATTGTGTCCTTCGATATTTCGTCCATATGCCGCCATTTTAATGGCTCGCCGATTCTCTGCCCGATAAATGCCACTTCTTCGTCTTCATGTGTATTTAGATTACAGTATCCAAGAGTACTTCATTGTAGAATAGTCCTGAAAGAAAAATTGAAAAAATTACTTGCACTTTGAAGGAAAAAACCTCCCACAACAAATTCAGGATAGGAATAAAAAAAAATCATTTGAAAGTCACGCGCAATCTTCGCGAAAATTCCTTGACAGGGGGGGGCGAATATTTTCACGAAACGTTGTTCGCCAACACAGCAATTCAGGTTTCAACTAAATATATTGTATTTATTTTATTTTATTTTATGATTTAAAATAAAAATTAAAAACATTAAATATTTACGTATTTTTATTATCAATCATAAAAATGCAATAAATATAATATATCCAGACATCCAATTAGGTTGCTGTGGGAACCACGTTTCGTGAAAATATTCGTCCCCCCCCCAGTCAAGTAGCCACGAGGAATTTTTGCGAAGATTGCGCGTGACTTTCAAATGATTTGTTTTTATTCCTATCCTGAATTTGTTGTGGGAGGTTTTTTCCTTCAAAGTGCAAGTAACTTTTTCAATTTTTCTTTTAGGACTATTCTGCAATGAAGTACTCTTGGATACTGTAATCTAAATACATATGAAGACGAAGAAGTAGCATTTATCGGGCAGAGAATCGGCGAGTCATTAAAATGGCGGCATATGGACGAAATATCGAAGGACACAATATCGAAGATAAAATATACTGCACTGCTCCAAAACTTGCCGAAACTTGGTTGAAATTTCCTTTAGCCATTTGCCATTATGTAAAAGTACAACAACTGGATGTTATTTGCGAGACACGGCGATATAAAGCAAACAAGACGGCAAAATATGGCTGAAATCGTGTTTTCGTGGGGGGTAAGTGAAATAAAATATATTATACTTATAGAAAACAGTGACTATCCTTATGAAAACTACAACAATTATATTAAATTAAGCATAGTTTTTTATCCCATGGTAATTTTTTTTAGGAAATAAGGATATTTAATTTCTGCCATGTATATTAGTTATTTTCTGCATAATCAGCAATTTACCTGGGGTGATAAATGGTCATTTTCCTGTAAAATATTATACTTACACAAATTTTTCCTTCCAATAACCACCCCCTAAAAGCACCCTTCTAAACACTATAAGCACTTCAGAAAGGCTGTCGCTTTTGCTTTTCGGAAGTTAGAGCTATGTCGGCACTGCCGTTTCAGGGAGGGGTCATTTTCAGGACTTTCGTCCAGGATTCAGGTTTTGGCACATATGCCATGTTGACCGCCATGGTCAATTTACCCTAAAACTGTTGAGATTACCTGTGGTAAATGAAACGCATACAAACTCATATACAGATCCTAGACTATGTTGGAAAATGCTGGCTTGTCGTTAGGTAACTTATGTATAATCATTCTGTGACTGTCAAGCATTAATATAAAACTAGGAAATACATGCATGCAGAAACCCTTGCCTTCTGACAAAACCATTGTATTTTCCGAACATGAAGTATTTAAAGAGGTTGTCGTGGCAACACGATAATTTTTTAAGAATATTTTTACAAATGAAAAATCCACTAAAAATATCACTTTAATTACAAAATTACCAATTTTCCAAACATATTTTTGATAGTTATGTTATTAAGGGTAATATAAACTTGAATTTGAAGTAAAGCTCAATTAACCACAAACGCTTCGCAAAACGTTTTAAAGTGTTCTTTATAAAACAGGGCTGTGGGAAGCTCTTTTCGGGGGGGCTGAAAGCGAGGGCCGAAGGACCGAGGAAATTTTAAACTTTAGAGTCTCTGAATTGCCTTTTCCTGGACATTGGGGAAGATTTGACAGAATTCTGATGGTCAGAAAACAGCGTTTTAGTATGTCGAAATTTACAATTCAGTAGTACTAAATGGGTGAAGGCGTATTTAATTAAGTAAACTAACTATATATTGGATAAGTTGCAGTAAAGTATGGGTAATATCTTCATTCTTTGCAGTTTTTCATGGATTAAATGATAAAGGTCTGCATGATTTTGAAAAAATGAATGATTATTAGAAAATTATTGGGGAGAGGGGCGGTGGCTGCAGTCCCCCCAGCCTCCCGGTTGCTACGGCCCTGTAGAACTAAACTGCCTTTTGTCTGTTTTGACTTTATCGATAAACTTTGAGTTTGAAATAAAATGATTTAAATTTCTCGCATCCAAATAACTTTGCTTTCTTTTTTATTTAAAAAAATTAATATAATAAAAAAGGGTAGTCAATAAAGTATACACTGAAATTGTATGCTGTCTTTTTTCGTTTATACGCAACGTTTATACGATCGGCTTTTAAAGCCATTATAAAGCAAAATATTTAAAACAAACTTACCTTCGCTAACGTTGGCGGCTTTGCTCCCTTCTTTTAGCCGGTTCTTTCGCCCTTTTTTCTTAAAAAGCTTTTGAAATTCACAAAATCTTGCAAAAATGAAATATATTTGCAAGAAATCATCAAATCAAGAAATGTTTGCTATTTCGCTGTCGTCATGCAGTCGTTATAATGCAAATTTTAAGTTTTACCAATCAGTGTTCGCTATTCATTACAGTCCGCCATATTTTTGAGATCAGTGAGGATGACCACTCATCGTTGGTCACCCACGCCCGCGATTATTGACCATGGATCAACTTTTCGTTTCCTCGCGTGTAAATAGCCGGGGGGGGATTAATACCCTCGCCCCCAGCTTACGCCCGGAACGGAGCTGCACGCCGTTGGCTCGGGGGCTATTGCATTATTAACATAGATAACAAATTATGAAACACATACCTGATGCACTGTAGCGGTGTGTGTCTAAATTTTTACAGATAATAGTCCATTAAAGCAACTGAAATTAATGAAATAATAGTCAGAAATATTCCCAAACGCGCTGCAACACTTTGCACAAATTAACCCACACGCACGAAATGCTGGAAAACATTAGATATAAATCTTATTCTCAAATTTCAGTCTCTTTGGAAAAAAATTAAATATAGCAAATTAATGTACTGTTTCTATGCGCAATAGGTTCAATTATTAGAAAATAATCCTAATAATTAATAGCTGTCCACCTCCACACAATAATTTCAGAAGGGCCGTTTTGGCCCCAAAAATGGGGCCGAAATTTTGACCCTGAAACGGCCGCTTCTTTCAAAACGGGCTGTTTTGATTCTTTCAAAAGGGGCTGTTTTGGTTCTTTCAAAAGGGGCTTGTATTTGGGGATGTTTTGATTCTGAAGACAGCACCATTTTATCGTTGCTCATTAGACATATTAATAATCACACAATGCAAGTTAAAAAGGTGTATTTACAAGTTTAACATTAGAATATTTACAAGATGCTGGGCATTTTGATGTGGCAATACCCACACTACAAAAATTTATGTGTAAATTAAGAAAAAAATGTGAGTAAAATTTGCATCCACAGCAACATATTTACTGTATATGTGTAATGTCTTATTGTTTTTACTTGCCAGTGCTGTCACATAATGGGTTAAACAAGTAGCACGCCTCTCATGTACAACTGAGTTGAAACCGTAACCATATGAATGTATGAATGTTTCCTGGAATCAGGAATGAGCCAATAGCATATTAGATCACAAATACAGTACCGACAACATCACCCTTGCACTTTAGAAAACATATCTACCATGTTCAAAAATTCTTTATCACGTTGTAAACTCCATCCTACATAATGAATGATTACAGATAAATTATTAATTTGTTTTCATGGGAAAAATTTGATTCACCATGGTTCCAACCTACATGACCAAATTATAGTTAATACATGCTAATCCAGAAATAGTGATGCACCTATATTGAAATTCACTGATATTCCGATAACCGATATTGAAGGACCGACATTTTGCCGATATACACACACCGACATTCCATGTCAGTTCACAAAATTCAAAGATAACATCAAATGACTGATATTTCAATTTAGTACCGATAAGCTAATACACCAATATGAATAGTGGTGCATCAATACCCAGAAATCACTGTCTCACAGGCAGAAGAGGTTGGACAGGGGGTCACGTGACACGCAGTCACTTTATACTTGTTTTCGATCGGTGTTCATTCGTGATTTGACCTCCGTCGTTGAAAGAAATCTGGCTATTAAAAATATCAAATATGGATGCTTTCGGCGTACAATCATGCAAAGCGGCCGTATTTGCTGAGCAGAGCGCAGTGTACATACATTGTTGTGAGGTTTATTACGAAGTATCTTTTACTGTGGCAACTTTGCAATGTTTAAGGTTAAATGCAGTGTTTTTGCGCATCAGTTTTCTCGAATCCCCATCAGTGCGAAGAATGTGCGTTATCCCGAGGAGTGAATTCGATTCTCGAGAAACTTGCTGGCCTAAACTCGCCTTGTATTGTCCATGTGAAATACTGTGTAGTGGTAAAGGTTGGTATACAACTTTATTTAAATGTGTGTAAAATCCTGCTATTTGATTTATATGCATGCGCGTACAGGACTACAAGTCCTTAGCCAAGTCTCAAACATGTCGTTTAATTTTTAATAGTTGGATCCCATATAGCAATAACTCCAGCTACATCAACAGATGTTGAGGAATATCCTCAGGCACCTTTGCTCGACCTCAATGCTGAATCTCTTCACTGCAATTGTTCAAAATTTCCCAATGCAGACAAAATTATGATAGTTTCTGAAGATGACAGCCCTCGCCATTTAACTCCTGACAGTGCTGAGCCTGAGGAAGCCAGCTTTGAGAGGGACATAAACAATACAGGTATTTTTATAATACATACGTCCAAATACATATTCGTGTTGGTCAAATGCTCTCAAATTCATGATTTATTCACCATTTCCAATAAAAATCAAGAGTTTATATGAAAGGGCAATTGACACTCGACTTGTTGTTCATTTACTAAGAGAGGAATTAGGGAATTGTTTATAATTATAAGGGCTGGCTCGTCTTACCTGATCACGAGGGGCTAGACCATCCATACATTTATAAAACAATTACACTTCATACGTACTGTAAGGCCACATAAAATAAATTCCTTGATTCTCATCACCGCCCGACTGTATTTTAAGAGCCGCGTGAAATTTTTTTATATTTTGTTATACAATATATATGAACCTCCCGACAAAATATTTCAAGATAGTTAGGTTTTTGTATTTAAAATTGGGTTTTTAGTGCCATTTTAAACTGCCAATTTCAAACAAATAGAACCTTGAAAGAAATTTCATTGCATTTTAACGGAACTTCGCATTCAGTTCAAAGGTTCAGTCATTGTTCGTGGAGAAATATGTTCATTTTGGTTTGTGACACTTCACTTTGGAAATCACAGAAAAATTAAATGTTAGGAATTATTTTTCTATTTATTGATGATAAATTATATAAATATTAAATATAAAATATAAACCTCCCGGCTCTTCGACATTTTCAAAGTCTAGTGATGAGCATCAAGGAATTTATTTTATGTGGCCTAAGACAGGTCAGCCTGTCCACCTTCATGACTAACTGATTTTTCAATGTAAAGTGACCAACTTGGGCTTGCAAGAAACATATTTTATACATGTATCAATATCTATCTGAATTGTTATGATTTTTTGTAAATTTGCTCCATATAAATCATTAATTAGACTTTAATGTCAAACCTAACACTATATTATTTTAATTAAACTCATAAACAAGTTATTCCCACAAAATTGACCTTGCCAATTATTCTCTTTTACCCAAATGAATGGCTTCTTTTCCATGTCAACTTATTTTAGCATATGTCAGGGGCAGATTAATTAAATTCACATTTTTTCATGGATGAATTTGTTTCTTGCTGTTCTTAGGCTTAATAACAAAGTAATTTACAGCCTGTTCATACAAAATCGTTATTTTCTCACAAAAGTTTCACCTACATCTTTTCCTCAGTCATTTAGCTACTGGATATGATAAAATAGTACTGAACAAAATTGGAAATTCTAACATTCCTAAATTTTTTTTAGGTCTTCAACCTGATCACCATGAATCCGATGATGCTTCAGATGAATGGTTTAGAAATGAATCTGAAGGGAATGCATGGCTTGGTGTTGTTAACTAAGCATGCCGCCATGAGTTCTTTGATGGATGCTGTAATGTAAATTTAGTTTATACTCCCATATTAGCGACATGCCATATTTATCCCATGGGTGGATGGTTGTCGATCATGATGTTAATGATTATTAATTTTACCATATAATCATTATGGCACTTCTGCTTGTTAACTGAAACTGTAATTGATATATTTGTTTAGAAAGAGACTTGCTTGCAGCATTGGATGACTTAGATCTTGAAAGTGGGGATACAATGGACCATGAAATCACACATACATTGCCATTTAAGAGCGAAGGTCCACTAATATCGAGCATCAGCCGGTCACGCTCAAAGTTTCGATTTTGCTCATTTTTGGTTTGCAGGAAGGCATTGCCAAGTAAACAAACTTGATGTAGTTTATTTTAAAAAAACCCGCTAAAATTCTGAGAAATCCGAGAAAAACGATTCAACTGTCGGCGGCCTAAAAAATATGCAAATTTTCAATTGAATCAAACGGTTCAAAAACAACTAACACATGCAGAATTGGAAAAGGTATGAAAACTGTACGTTTGTAAATCGATGGAAGAGATGTTTGAGACTCGATTGAGTATAAAATCATGATATTAACTATTAATTAAAACCAGACAGCTGATATTTAGAATCGTATGGTATTCACACATAGCTAAAATTACAATCTACCGTTGCCACGCCAAAACCATTTTAACTAAGTGCCCCAGATTTTTTCAACACGAAACGTACGCCATTAACTAATCAAATGTTCTTCTAGAACATATAAAAAAATTAGTCTGGGTTATTGTATTTAGAGTTCGTACGGAGGCCGTGAATATTGGGTATTTTCGACATATAGCGTGACTGAAATCTACAAGTGTTTTGTTCCTTCCGGAAGTTCCGGTCGCTATTTTCTCATAAATAGTTGCTATTTTCATCGGGAATTAAACCCGAAAATGCATTTCCTTAAGAATGGCTATTATTAGCAATTTACATGGTTTTAGCAGTCACAGCATTCTTTATTTAAGACTAAGTAGATAGTGCTATGACCGAGATAATTTCTGTATATTTTATACCGATTACATGGAGAGTTTTCAGCCTGGGCTGAATTTCAGCCCAGTAAACCGAGCCGAAATAGCATCACGATTACATGGGCAGTTTGAAACTGGGCTGAGTTTTGGTCAGAGCAATATTTATTCCTTGTAGTATTAAAACAAACCCAGGACGAAATGTCATCCCGGCCTGAAATCATACGATATCATGAAAGGCAATATTCCGCTTGTTTGAGCATTTAAAACACCGATTAGTCGACCATTTGACTTGTGTAAGACTGTGGTTGCATATAAAGTATTAAAGATGAGACGAAACGCAAAATAAAGCCATTTAAACGATTGTTTTTTTTACCCCGGGCTGAAATTATTTGCAATTACATGGGATATTTCATCCCGGTTGACAGGGCTGAAAATCTCATCCTGGGTGACATAAACCGGGATGAAAATTTCAACCCGGCCTGAATTTCAGCCCTGTCAACCGGGATGAAATATCCCATGTAATCGCAAATAATTTCAGCCTTTCAGGCTTTATTTTGCATTTCGTTTGCACTTCGAAATTTTTTCCATGTAACCGTAATATTCATATTATATTGAATTTATGGGGGCCCCGGGCTGAAATTTCATCCCTGTTTGCCAGGCTGAAATTTCATCCTGGGCAGAAAACCTCCACGTAATCGGCCTCTTATTTTAACTAAAGACAAAACTTAGCACATTTTCACTAAGCTATAAAAGAAGGATGACTTCGAAATTATTTTCAGTTTTTTTAATTGTTAGTTTGCATGTGGTTTGGCTGAACATGCTCAGAGACAGAGAAATTGTATTCTCAAACTCATTAATAATTTATAAACCGACAACGAAAGAAATTAATGTTTAATCATGGGCGTACCGGAAGGAAAAAATTAGGGGGGCGGAAAGAAATTTGCCCGACTTTTTCGGATTGTGCCCGACAAGTGCCATTAACAAATTAATTTTGGCGACACCCCCCCCCCCCGTCGCCAAAAAATTTCGGTCAGTGTATCATTTTAGGGGTCCAAAAATTTTTCGGACATACAAAAATTTTTCGGAACATACAAATTTTCAACACATCACGAAATTGACCACAAAATTGACGGAATTTCCCACAAAATTGACAGAATTTGTCCCATTTATTTTTATAATAAGCCAATATTGCCCGACTGTGGAGCGAATATTCCCCGACTGACTTTGTTTGCCCAACAAACTGGGGGGGGCAGGTGCCCCCCCCCCCTCCGCCCGGTACGTCCATGTGTTTAATCAGTGTTTTGAAACTGGAAGAAAACTGTCTTCAAAACAGGTGGAGGATTTGAAATCTCCCAGGGATCAGCGGGCCTGATTAAGTATTCATTTTCAAACTTCTAGTAGTTTGAAATTTTTCAAAGTACTAGTAGTTTGAAATTTTTCAAAGTACTAGTAGTTTGAAATTTTTTAAGGTACTAGTATTTTTAAATTTTTCAAGGTACTAGTACACTGGAATTAATTTAAGGTACAGAATATTGTTCTGCCATTAACAAAACTACAAAGCAAAATTAAACACACTTGAATCCTAAACACTTTTGTGGTGAAAAGTAAACTATCAGGTAAGAGCGCCGGTTTGTCTTGAGACAGCGATCGGGCGATGTAATTAACGTGTAAATTTCGTATCTGGAAAGTTTGATACTGCATGTCTAAAAATAGATCTTGGCAAGGTCTGGCCATCATGGATATAAAGTGCTCCTTTTTCGCAATTGTTGTTGGTTATTGTGGCCATGATACTAGAGTTAAAAACAAATCATCAGAATGCGTTCAGTTGTTAAGTTGTAATAATCATGATATTACAGGGCATAAATCGGA